ACTTCCCTTACATAACCTTTATTTTTCTTCTGTGGCACCAGATAATGCATTCCTATGTGCGTTTGTTTGATTTTCTTTGTCTTACTTTAATGGTAATGTTCAGCTACAGGTATGTTTTTACCTTTAAATAATAGATAAAATCCTAGCAACAGCAAAATGTTTCCACTGTTGATAAAGACTATGACAGCTAGTGTTTCTAATACTTAGTAATGTCATAACTCAAAATTAAAGAAACATGATTTTACAACTATTAAGGTTTTGTCAGTTTTCAACCTTGATTCACATACAAATAACAAGCTCTGATCATTCAACCTTTAGTGGTTATATGAAGCAATAATGGACAGTTTGAAATATAAAATACATTACATTCATTCTGATATAAACCACTACAGTCTGTCTCCGTTTATTTTGCCAGTTGTTAGAAAGTTTTCTGACGAAAGGAACCCTAATGGTTTCATTCCCACTGACTTTGTGTTAATTCCTTCTCTGAACCAAGCATGTAGCTACATTAGACCATTGGCTGTGCATTGCTGCTAACTGTGTAGCAATCCTTTACTCTGTGCACAAAAGAGAAGAGGAACGCTCCCCATTAAAAGAATGAAACCTACAGCAGAACTGGCTTAATGAGAATGTCCTTCCGCCACAACTGACTGGAGGTTTGAAAAGACAGAGTGGACACAATAAATGCCTGATCATGGTCTGCGAAATGGAACTGCTTTAGTAGCTTTTTTTAAATTTTTTTATTTCTAAACAAGAAAATACTATTTAATAAACTAATTAGAAATATCTTTGCTAGATTTGCCGAAGGCAACAGACATCTGTACAGCGCAGAGTCTCTGAATCTTGACTAGGAAGGCTCGGAGAATTAACATTTCCCCCCAGAGAAGAAGACAAAACAGCTGTGGCCAGTTTGTCAGATTACCTTGCAGCTGGGGAAACGGGAACATACTTAATCACCCCAGAGTTTTGCTTTCCCATTAGTTACATTTCCAACAACTCTTGATGTTTTTGTGGAGAGTGAGCTAATTTATTTCACAGGTGTTGAAAAATACATTTAATTGCATCAGTTGCAAAATAAGACAGCTTTCACTTTAATGACTCTTACTTGAAGGCTAATTTTTTTTCCAAGCCACATGTGATAAAAGTTAACGTCACTGACTGTGCAGCTTCCAGAAAAAACCGACAACTATCAGGGGGTTGTGTAATAAACAATCAAATTATACAATGGTGCATGCATTATACTGTAAGTAATGCAAATGCAGACATTAAATACTTTTTTGCCCAAGTCAGGGAGTTTTGATTCGAACAATTGTTTTATTTGAGACTTTTGATATCGATAAGTCATCTCAAGAACTTCCAATTCATATCAAATCACACTGAAACATATATAATATTGTATGTTACTATGTTGGTTATAGTGGTAGCCATTAGGACTGTCCAAACAGATGTTTGTCCTTTGTTAGAGTAAAAAACATACTAGATGTTTTAATGACACATGTTTGGTACTCCCAAAGGGGGAAGTGTGTGGCATCTTTGAAGAAATGGCCTTTGAAGGCAATATGGTAAATGTATATTGCCATATTGTGGTGGTTTGAAAGAAACTGTGAGGTCTCTTTTGAGGCTGCAAGCCACTAAGAGCTTCTCTCAGTGGCCTTTTTCATAGGAAGGTCTATGATTTGTCCCGACAGGAGGAGCACAAGCGTAGCACGAAACATTAACAATGGATCCCTTCAGTGTGCCAGGAATCCCCGGCACACAGAAGGGGCTGACAGGGACCCGGCATGCCCAGTGCCAGGCTGGTGGAACTGGACCTTGTCAAATCTGCTAGATGAGCGCTCTTCTGTCAAAAAGATTCTGCCATAAATCTTTGTTTTCTCTTCAATGTAAAAGAAAATTTTCACCTGCTGCCATTATTTCCTGAACCCCATATATTGCTGGCTTAGTAACCAGCTTACTGTAATCAGTAGCTCTTTGTCATTTTGCATCGTAGCCATTTGACATTTTGGCTGCAGTTTTCTGTGTTCTGCCCTTTGATTTTTTTTCTAAAATAATTTCATTTTGATCCTAGCTTTTATAAATATATATTTTTTGATGTAATCTTTAGATTCAACAGTGTTGAAATGAACAACAAATGCCTCAAATCTATTTTTGTTGTTTTCCACAAAAGTTTTTTTTTTCTTTTTTGTTTGTTTTTAGCAGATATTTCAACAGCCTTTGCCGTTGTGGTTTTCTTGTTTACTTTGATAACAGTTGGGCAGATTAGCTGCTTCATGCACAGTTTATCCCTATTAAATTGCAGGCTGCTTTTACTGACATCCTAGCTCGGCCATCACTGAGTATTTCTCACAGCCCCAAAGAGGCTCAGTAGTTTTCTCCCAGGCGAAATAAAAACAAGTTTTCTAAATCGTCTGCATTCAAATAATTGGCTCAGTGTTGTGGTGGAAGTGAAGGGGGAAATCTCCTACTGATATACAGTGCCCTACAGTAGTTTTGGCTATTTTGCAATCACAAACTCCAATCTGTTTTATTGAGATTTTACATGAAGCATCAGCGCAAAGTAGGAAATATATTTATGGACTGTAGGGAAATTAAAACATGTGGTCGTCTTGAAGAAGCTGGTGTGATGATGCTTCAGGGCTTCAGTTGAATGGTGAAGATTTCATTTCAAACTGTAGCTCTAATTAGAACAACCAGGTCATGAGTAAATCTTGGCCCAATTGTAGAAAATCTACACACAGTCGCTTTTAGAGAAATTTTTGCAACAGAGGTTTTCACATTCATACTTTCCATTGCTGGTAGTCTTCAGTTCCATCATGTTGACCGTCTCCTGACTGTGCAAGCATTTCCTGTTTTGATCAGTCCCAATGTAAAATTTATTTGCTTAGAAAGTTTTCCAAAGACAGTGGGATGAGACACAAAACATGGATTAGAATATTTGCAAAAATACAACTCTGAAAAGTCATTATGAATTAAATACTCACTTCTTCTGAGTCAAAATTCTGTAGAGCCACCTTTTGTTCCAACCACAGCTGAAAGTTTTTTGTGGCAGTACGCTCCACAACCCTCTTTGGTTTGCAAAATAGCTACAGCTCTCTCAGACTGGGATAAGTGCACCTGTGAACATCAGTTTTCAAGTTGTGTGACAGATTCTTAATTAGATTGAAGTCTGGAGTTTGAAAGTCATCAAGCACAAGAATTTAATTTAGTAAAAAGCCTTCAACTGTACAGTATGTTTGCTCTATGTTTAAGGTAGAGTATGGTATCACCTTGTAATTCCATAAAATCAATTTAGTTTGTCTATAAGAATAAAGACTTTATAATAAAATGTTAAAAAAAAAAACTAAAAAAAACCTTGTTGCTAAGACTGGAATGCAAAGTAATGATTTTTCTCACCTACGAGAATCTTAACAGTGCAGATCTCACATAGCTTCAAGCGTTACATTGACTTTAGATTGGTATTCTTAGCATTCGTGGTTTCTTTTTTCACTGGAAATGTAAACATGGGTTTTTGAAGAATCTTTTCTTCCTAACGGCTATGTAACGTGGCAAAACACTTTCTTGTGTGTGCCTCTGGGAGCTGAGTCAGTGTGTAAGATTGTGCAACCGAGTGATAAGGATATGGTGTGAAGAACCAGAGCCCCCGAACGAGAATCAAGCTCAAATGAACTAACCCAGTCTGAATCAACTTGGTTAAAACTCATGTGTTGTTTTTATCAACTGGAACATTCTTTAGTCTTTCAGCAAGATGCATTTTCTTGCTTGTCTTTGGTTCTACATTCTAAGAGAGGAAGAGTCAAACTTTCACAGAGCTAACATCCTGAGCAAAAGCTTAACCTGGTTCCCAGAGCGAACAGCTTCTGACCCACCGGGAGGATCTCTCTGTTCTCTCCTTAAGGCTGTTTACTGCCACCTCCAGCACTTCTGCTGCTAGGAATCCTCTCATGAATTCTTCCACACTTGCCAATAGTTTACAGACAGAAAATCCAAATTATGTGCATTAACTGTTGACTGCATTAACCCTTTTCACTGAGAGAGAAAAGGTAAATTTATTCATCTAAATGTACCAGACAAGCAACATTTTGTGTATCTATCTATCTATATATACATATAGACAGATATATATAGATAGATATATTTTCTGGTGGTAAACAGCTCACAAGGTTTATATTAGTCCCAGGAATATGTTTGTCATTTCTGGAAAAAAAAAATTGAAGACAAAGAAATCCCCCAAAAAACAATGGTCAGCAAAATGTTTGAAAGGAGATAATGCAGTCATTGGAAAAAAAAAATCCAGCGTTTGCATTAAGTCTATCAAACATCAAGTAGTGGTAAGAGTCATATTTTGTGTCTTCTTACCAACACTTTGCCTTTGACAATCAAAAATTCTAGCAAATCTTCACTCGGTTTGGTCCAAATGAAACATTTCCTTTTTGGTGCTTAATTGTTTCGTCATAGCTTGACATGGATCTGGTCCATCACCTCCAACACTGACAGTTTCTTGCTGCCATCTTGTGGAGGAACAGAAAACAGTGGGTGCTCAGTATTTCACCATGAAAATACTGTAACCTTTGGTCTTGGTGTATAAATAAGGTAAAAATTCTGGCAACCACAGGTGCCCACATTTTACTCTATATTAGAGAGTCTTATTTTTTTCACAGTGTAGTGTTCGCCATGCTTCTTTTAAATCTCTATACTTTAATATGGAGATTAAGTCTTGGGATAAATCCTGATCCGATTTAGTTCTCGGAGTCCACCACAATCTTTTGTCTTTTGTTTGTCACCAGCTTTCATTGACCACAGTTTATAAAACATTATAATTGATGTGATTCTGATATTTGTCAACACATTTTAAATGAAAATATGTTTTTAGTAGCAGACAAACTTGTGATTATGTATCATTTCATAATGACTCTCAGATCTGTTGCTTAAATACATGAAATATCAGTATAATTGTTTTAAGCCCATGTCTTATTTAACTGCAAAAGAAGCAAATTTCAATATTTTCTTCAAGTATCATTTGCTTTATTATTACACTTGCATTTAACAAAACATTTACATGATACAAACTTTCTCAACTTTTCATAATTACTTTTACACTTCATTTTACAACAGTTTTTTTTCTTTGTTATAAAAATGGAAAATGAACATTCATCTTTCCACAACAATGGAAACTTGTTACACCATATAAATTAACTGTATTTTTTAGGATCTGTTCTGAGTCTCTGCTCTGCTGTCTTCTGCCTGTGAACACACACTCTGCTGTGGTTCCTCCTCTGAGCTCCTCCTGATAGTCAGCTCTCTCTCCGTCCCCTCGATACAAGGAACTTTGGCTGCCTGGATGTGGAGCTTTCCATCTGGAGAAAGGTGGCAGCGGACGTCTTCATGGTTCACCCCTTCAGGCAGATCAAACTCCTGTCTGAACTCCTGCAGGCTGTAAGAGTAGCAGCCTTTCCCGTCCTCTTGTTTCTTCTCCGTCTTCCCGCTGACTCTCAGCTTCCTGCCCACCTGCCGGACTGACAGATCTTCTGGAGAAAAGCCCTGAGTGTCCAGCGTTAGGCTAAAGTGCTCTCCCTCTTTGTCCAGCTGCAAGAGACGGGCTGCAGAGCCACGCTGCTCCTGAAAGGCTCTGTGTCCTCCAGGATCTGGCGTTGAAGTTTGTCCATCAGCTGCAGACTGCTGCGCAGCTCCTGTAGGTCTCTCTGGATGACATGCTGCTGGTAGAGCAGAGGTCTGACCTCTGGCCACAGACTGCGTACAGGCCAGGAGAAGTCCATGAATGGACTGATGGCAGACGGGAATCCATGAGAGCACAGCATCTTTCTTCTGTTTAGTCTTGAGTCTTCTTGTTGTTCAGGCGTCTCTTCACTCCTGTGTTTCTTGTGTATCTTTCTGTCAGTCAGTGGGGCTGTCCCAGCTTTATATTCTAGCAGGAGGCGCTCCAGAGGCTTCCGGAAGTTTCTGGTAATTACCACATATCTCCAGTAGGTGAAGCTGTTTGACTGGGACGATGATATCACTATTCCAGACCAAAACGTCTGCATGTAACTATTGATTTCAACAAATACACAGTAAAATTTGAAATTGTGCTTATTCATCATTTACTGTTGCCAAATTTGCAGTTGGTTAGTCTTTTATCAAATTAGTAATTTTTGGACAATTATAGAAGGTCTAATATTTTACCTTTTAAAAACAACAACAACAACAAAAAGAGGTTATAATATTTCTTCCTCTGGTCTGCTGTCTGTTTTTAGATTTCTTTTCTAAAAACATGACGTCACCTGTAGTGAAATTAACTACGAACTGATAGCATCTGAATAAATTGTACATCGAATTCAAAAGAAGTCTTATTTTCAGATGAACATGAATGTAACACTCAATGAGACGCAGTTTGCAGACAGTGGAAGTTTCCTAAACGCCAGTTCTTCCCTCATTTCATCAATGAAACCATTTCCCCGTGACCAAGTTCAGCCAATGAACTGATCGCACCTGCAGCCACTCACAGCTTTTTAGGAGCAATTAGGATCTTCCATCCAGTGACTGCTGGGGCAGACAGGAGCCGGGCTCCGCGGTGGTGCGCTGCAGGAGCCATTCACACGCGTTTCAACGGGACTCGGCTTCAGTCGGACGCTGTTATGCAGCTGAAAAATAACAACTCGATGGGAAAACACATGGACCTGGCCTCGCTGTTCTGCATGATCGGGCGCCACGGACCCGCCGTGGCCGTGGCCATGATTGCCATGGTGTCAGTAGTGGCAGGGTTCATTATCTACCGGACCGTGAAGGGGAAGCGGAGGAAGGCCGAGGCTGGAGACGGGAGCGGGGGCAGCAGCAGCGGCCAGGCAGCGCCGAGAGACGCGGTACAGCCGGAGAAGGAGCCCAGTCTGGAGCCCGAGGCACGCAGCCGTGTGGAGTCAACAGGTACAGTCACTGGTGGAGAGAAGGATTAGGGGACTGTTGCCTTTTAAAGGTAACAAATATTATAGGTTTTTGCTTAAATGTATTTTGAACTACATGGGTCATTTATATCCTAAAACTCTACCCCGCTTGTCTCTGCGCATGATGGGAGGGGTGAAAGGTTTCTTAATTTCCAGGTAATAACTAGTAATTTTAACTGAATGATAATCCTCGTTCTCTTTATTTATTTTTCTCTCTCTACTCTTGTGAGTTGGCACGAACACAATTTGAGCTTCTCCATCGGTCTCCTTATGCATTAAGTTTCCCATTTCCTCCGTGAAGATGTGCATTTCAAATGCTTAAGGAAAACTATAAAGATTACAACTATTCAAAGTAGTTAAGCGGTTGTAGAAGTAATGACCTTTTTTTAAAAGAAATTAATTTGACAAACGGTTTAGTGCATTTAAGATTATGCCTCTGTCAGAGTTGCAACCATTGATGCGACATTTCGAATGTAGAATACATTTATTTTGGTTTTAGTTACGTTTTTTCTTTTTTTTTGTAAGAACTTTTTGACTTTTGAAACCAGCTGCTGTGATTTGCTAGTAACTTTCATATCAACTTTTCAAATAAAGCTGGAATATTTGTAGCTAATGTCTCAAGCGATCATGTGAAAACCAACCCCAGGACAAATGGCAGACAGAGTCTTCTCTTTGCAATCAGTTGAAACAAACTGTGGCTCCCTTATTGATTTTAACCCATTTATTTTGTGGTCTTGAATACAAAGGGAAACATTAAGTTTTAAAAAGACCTGTGCAACTTGCAGATTATCCATTTCAAAGCTGGCAAGTAACATTTGCATATTTAACAGACTGGGTTAAATTTTTTGTCAAAAGGACCCAATATCATTAAAAAGTATCATAACATGGCAATTTATTTCTTTAACATATACCTATTTTGTCATTCCTGAAAAGAAACTGAAGTCACAATTTGCTTTGGAAAAAGAGAACGTTTGTCCTCACCTTTGATGCCATTCCATCATACTTGCGCAGATATTTGCAAAATATGTTCAACTGCTTTGCAATTGGGTAATGGCAATATTTCATAAACATGGAAAATAATTGATGTAATTGACCCCCATCTGTTAAAGTATTAAAAAACTTTTGATGAATACAGTGTTTTTAATTTGCTCCAGTTTTAAATAAATTTTTGCATCATCATTAGCAGTCAGTAATATGTTATACTTCATGCTCAACTTTATTCTTCTAGAAACTTTGTCCTTGTCACAAATTTGAAACTGGACAACTTTTGATGTAGATTAAGTTGACTCTATGGGTTAAATTGAAGTCCAGTCACCACATCTGAAGTTGTAGTCTCAAGATTGCAACCTAAAGATCTGTTGACGTTAAAATGGGTCCCATTTTATCTTCTAGATGTGATTGAGGAGGCTTCAAATGGAAGGGATGGAGCTGTAATTCGAAGTCGGCATAAACGGAAGAATCGCCGTGCCACTGCTGAGCAGAGTCCTCAGTCTTCTAGTCCGCCTACCGTAGTGGAACCAGAGAAACTCCTGAATGCCTCGCATGTGGAGGACACTTCCAATGTTATACAAACAGAAGAGACCATTAAGCGCCTGCAAGATGACAAATGTGAAGTGAGGAATTTGAATGTGGAAGATGAAGGATACAAACATAATCTTGTTGAAAGGTCAAATGATGCAGAGGGAAAATGTAGTGATTCCTTGGAGCCTGCAATGGTTTCTGAGAGTCTTGCAAATGAAGAAAAGGTGAGTACCAAATTTAGACAATTGTCATGAGCTGATGTTGGTGGGAGATCAATTATGCTCTGTAGTATACTTGGTCTGTCACTAATTGGGTGTCAATTTTTGCTGTTCAGGTACAAAAATCACAGAAGGAGGAGGAGACTATGGAAGATGTGTCAACTGAAATTCCCTCTAAGGGTGAAGAAAATCTGTGTGCTTTGACCAGTCCAATCTGCCATGAAGAAAATGCTTCAGTGAGTTTAAATGGAAACTATAAATTAAATCAGGCCACCTCAGATTCAATCAAGGCTGGGTGTTACTTTGAAGAGCCTTCCGCACACATGGATGAGTCCCTCTCTACCAAAAATGAAGATGAGATTTCAGTACTTGACATCGCTAGCTTAAATAAACCACACCCTGCCAGTGAAGACTCTCAAAATATGGCACTGCAGAAGCGCATCAAAAACCAACATACGACTATCACAAGTCCAGCCATTGATAGTGCAGCTTCTGAACAGAGTCCAAATAGTGATGTGACTGAAAACAGTCTTACAGACTTGTTAACTAACTGTACTGTGCTACCGTCTAGCGAAGAACTGAAACATGAACAAGATTATTCCACCTGCAGTAAGAATGTTGATGATGTTAAGATGGCTTCATTTAGTGAATCACAGGAAACTACTTTTGTGTTCAGTCCTGTCCTATCACGTTTGTCAGTTGAGCCAGAAACTATGAATCATGAAAACCAAGCCCTGCCACTAGCCCTACAACCAGAAGACAACATTAAAGATATAACTGCTTCTGAATTGGCTAAAGCAACAATTGATACCCTCTGTGGTCTTTCATATCCTCACTGTGAAGTTGATGAAACTCTAAATGATATCCTGGTTTCTAAAGAAAGTGTGGAAATTCTGTCTTCACCTGATGCAGTTGTTGGTGATGTCAGTTCTGCTGCATCTGTGTCAACAGAAATGTCTCATCCAGATAACTCTTCCTTCAAAGATCAAAAAGGTGAACAAATGCAAAATGCAGATCTTCTTGAGGTCTCTAATGATCCTGCCCCAGTCATGGCTGAGACTGTGGAACCACCACATCATGAAGTCCAACTGTTTTATGAAAATCCATGCAACTTAACTTGGTGCTCTCCTGATGCTGGCATGGAGAGTGGGATTTCGAGCATGGCCGTCAGCCCTGATTTGCCTGGTGTTGACAATTCCTTCATCTCTGAAATCTTGTTGCCAGTGGCATTGGGCGTTCCTCTACAGTCTGAGGACCAGGCTGGACTTCAAAGTACAATGGCTGAGTCGTATGCTGTCAAAGAACCAGCAGATAAAATACCAGAATCTTCAAATGATTCACAAACCCACATTAAGAACACTGGTGAAACCAATGATGACTCTTGTACAGTCGGTGAGGCATGCGTTGAGATTAAAAGTTTCAACACAACAGTTGAGAAACTTACAAAAGAAGCAACCACTGACTCCTGCTTGAATGAAGACCTGGGAAAGATGGGCGTAAAGATTGTCATTGAAGGTAAGTGTGAGGTAGAAGGCAAGGAAGAGGACAAAACCACAGAAATTAATATCATGGAGGCAACTATGGACAACAATGAGTGGATCACAGATGGTACTGATCAAGTCCTTCCTTGGATGAAGCCTTCCAGTCCACAAATCGATCCAGTGTCTATAGAAAATTTTCAAGCTTCCTCTTCTGTGCATGCTGCTTGCACATTTGCAGATGTTCCACCTGTTAATGAGTGTGAAGAAGACAACACAGTTCCCCTTTCTGACGAAGCCACAGAAACTAGCAAGAGGGTGCTGGCAGTTCAGCCTATGCCCCAAAATGTCAGCGTGACCTTCCAGATCCACTATCTCACGTACTCTCCATACCAGAAGGTGGCTATCACAGGAAATAATTTTGAGTTGGGGAACTGGAGGGATTTTGTTCCCCTAGAAAAGGTGAAAGATGGGTTTTGGGCTACTGTGGTCAGCCTGCCTGCAGAGAGTCATGTGGAGTGGAAGTTTGTAATAGTGGAGAGGGGAGAAGTGTGCCGCTGGGAGGAGTGTGGCAATCGCTTGTTGGATACAGGAAACAGAGAGACCCTGCTTGTGCACAAATGCTGGGGTTTCTTGTAAAAGGTGTCAAGGCAAAACCTGAAGACATGAACACTGAGGCTAAAAGGGTCAATGAGCTTTTGGACTGGACCAGGTAAATGATTCATTTACTCATTGATTTTTTAACTTCCATCAAG